GTGTCCTGATTCTGATAGCACAGGGTTGCAAAGCTCCCTCCTGTTTTGATCTTGATGGCATGCTCAAACATATAAATTCTCATTTGTTGCTCATATCAGATTTGAATTTGTCCCCAACCCAGTATGAGTGGTGATGAGAATGATCCTTCTCCTGGCAGTTCTTCGCCCAAATGTGCTGGTTCAGCACTTTGCATGGGCCCATGCAAAAAGGTGTAAGTGGTGTTTCATGTGCTGACATGCACCCTTCCTAACTTGTCCTGATCAGTAACTCATCAAATCCCCTTGTGCTTCATGGTTGGCATTTTGGGTGGACTGTATCTGCGCTGTGCAATTATCCTTCTCTCCTGACTGGAGGCATACTCCAGCTAGAAGAATTACAAGACTCTCCCATAGATGATTACCCAGTGGAGTCAGTGGAACTGTCATGGTTGAATATCAGGTGTCTTACAGTTTGATGTTAGCATTCGGTGGGAACACAGGGTATTCTTGGAACTTATAGACTCCTACCCTGGTCTTTTAGAGTGTCTGACTGCTGGTGAGGAGGAGGATATCATTCACATCGGAGAATTGGTAAGTCATTCATGTTCAAAGGTGTATCAGTAATCACATTCTTCTAGATGGGCAAAGGAGCGTCTGGTGCATAGGGCGACAACACCAAGACCCTCAAGTCTGCCATACTCAAATGGCTTGTGCCAAGAGGACAGCCCCTCATACTGCCCCTCTCTTGAAACATCAAGTCCGACCATGGGTTCAACCATGAAGTGACCAGTGCCTTACTCTGCCCTGCAGGACTTGATTGGTCAAATCCAGAGTAAGTCTTTGTGCTATCTAATAAAATTGCTGTCATAACAGTCCCCAGAACCAAACAGAGTCTTAAAAGTGGCGAAACAGCAGTCCATGGTGACCAGTGGCCTATGTTTTTATATTTTGGGTATATTTACAATCCCAAAGCTCCATGGCAGGGTTTACTGAGGAGCAAGATGCTTGTTTGCATAAGTTCACTATTAGCGGTCAAGTTCTTGCTTAATTCTATTTCCCTTCCAGGGTTTCAAACATGTTTTTACATCTCCAAGCTCCATGGAGAAGGAGCCAAAAGCCACACGCTGAAGGTTCAACTACTCTGCTAGGCTGCAGAGCAAAAGAAAGAAAGAGGGCTCTACCTCTGGGGTGAGAGGAAGGCCTACTGACTCTCCAGATGTTGGTCAAAGTGTGCCGAGCGATATGTTTGACCCTTAAGGGAAGCAAGGAAAGCAAATCCATGAAGTGACACCAGGTCAACTCTGGTGAAGTGTGCTGAAAGTGTGTGCATGGGAATGTCAAGCACATAGGTGCGCAAAGTGTGGGAATAGGGCGCATGCAGTGCGCAAACATGTAAAAGATGATGATTGGCTGCTGCTGAAGACTAGGGTGATGACTATGATAGATGCTGGCTCATGACGGATTCTAACTGCTAGATGCTAACTAGATACTAAGTGACATGATGGTGGTTCTGTGTATATTCTGTGGTGGTGGTTGGTGTATATTCTGTGGTAGTGGTTGGTTGCTCGGTGTCCTGAAAACTTCCTAGGCAACAGGTAAGCTGTGCCTAGGTGCGCTCCCAGGGCTCAGAAGCGAACAGGGAGTGCTCTAAGTATGTAAATGATGTAAATAAAGGGTCCATGATGAAATATAGTGTCATATAATGCTAAATATGGTCTGATATGAGAATAAGCAGGAAAGGACTCACTAGGGAACTGGTTGGATGATGGATGGATGCTCCAGGATGCTGTGTGACAAAGGGCAACCAAGCGCGTGCGTGGGAATGCATCACATAGTGCGGGAAAGTGTTGCACCTCTGGCGCGTTTTGCGAGAAAGTCATAGATAGTGAGTTGCACACTATACCAATTGTTGTGAGTCATAATATGGGTGATATATGCCTAGAGGGATCTCATTCCCTACAGTGCTCTGGTAATGTGTACCTCCATGGCATGAAGTCTGTTACAAAAGGTTCCCTGGCCTACATTGTGACACAGGTGAGCTAAACCATTCATAATGGTGTGCTCCTACTGATTGTTCCTCCAGGTTTGGTTTGCGTTGAGCTCCTCATCTGTATTTTCACACACAGACACTGTGATGGACTCAGAAAATTTTTATCATAGTATTCTTGACCTCTTGGAGGACCCTGATGAAATTGAGGAAGTAACTGACCTGATGACATGGTAGACATGGTTTGTATCATAGTTCTTCATCTCCGAGCTCTACATTAACACCTTACAGTCGCATTTTTCCCAATTCCTCCTCTTCAGAGTGGAGTATCAGCAAAAATGGCACACTATTCAAAATTCAAGAAAAACGCGCTGCCCTTCATGCATGGGCTGATGCTAACACTGATTGATCTGTTGTCTCATAATGTGATGCTGTTCTATATGCCTTGTAGTCAATAGTTCATAATTCATTAATAAATAGTCTTTCCATAGAATCAAATACCACACATGAAATCTTTATTGGAATTTGTGCATATCAGTGACATGCTAATATGAGATAACTTGGTATCACACCCAGATAGGCTGTTATTGATGGCACCATCAAAAGCCATCCTTGCAATCATGTGCATTGCTGATAAGACATGAGCATCTTGCTACACTAAGATAACCAGGCATCTTCTTGATGTGATATCACCATCACAGGCTATCCTTGTAGAAATATGTATCTTTGACAAAATAGCAACTACTTCCTATAGCATGATAGCTCAGTGTCAAATGTCAGCACACTGCTGATGATGGCAGATACTGCCATTGTAAGCTGCCTATCTAAGGCTTGACATATTTTGCAGAATTCCACCAGGGTGCTACAATGTGATAGCTCTGTGTCAAACACCAGCACACTGTTGATGCATAGACATGCTTGATAGAACACTGCCATCATGATATGCTATCATGATTCAATATCATCCCCTAGCACATTGTTAGTGGTTATAGATTTGGTTGCTGGACCCTGCCTATCTAACACTAGACGTATAGGGTAGAATACCAACATCACAATAGACGGCGGTGAACCAATGTCGCACCAAAGCATGCTGTTAGCAATTGTAGCTTTGGCCACTGGAAGCTGCCTATCTAAAGCTAGATATTGATGGTAGAATATTAACATCACAATAGATGGTGGTGAACCAATGTTGTACCACAGCATGCTGTTAGCAATTGTAGCTTTGGCCACTGGAAGCTGCCTATCTAAAGCTAGATATTGACAGTAGAATATCAACATCATGATAGATGGTGGTAAACCAATGTCACAACAGGGCATGCTATTAGCAATTGTAGCTTTGGCCACTGGACCCTGCCTATCTAACACTAGATGTGTATGGTAGAATATTAACATTATGATAGATGGTGGTGAACCAATGTCGCACCAAAGCATACTGTCACATCTGATAACAACACACCAGCATGCCAGTAGATCACAACCTGATACCATAGACATGTCAATGTTACAGCTTTGGCAGATTTCACCTACATAACCTGCCTATCTATTCTTTTATCATGAGGTCTACAATTGTGATGCATATTATTAATATTATTTATTAAATAAAGCTAGCTAAATCATTATCAAATTCTGGTCAAATGCCTGATGTGTGACTTGTGCACAAGCATCATCTTTCAATTCAGTACAAAAAAGCAGCACTTGAGCATCAACCTACATACAATGTTATAGTAGCACCCCTTGAAAAGTTATGACTTACCAGAGTTGCAAGTGCAGATGCATACAAGTTGTTAGTCTGGAAATGATCATAGATGGGCATGACACTCCAGGTGCAAGCTGTCACAGTTATGCTCACCCCTATTCATTTTCCTCATATTACCTGTATTATGTCATGACTGTGCCATACCATGCCATCACTAGACTCATTCCCTTCTATAGTTGTATTACATTGCGATTGCCGCAGCCATCATTAGATGACTCATTCCATATTTCTGACTCATCTCTTATTGCTGACTCATCTCTTATTTCTGACTCATTGTTGACATATACATACCTGCCCTAAAGCAGTTACATCTTATATATACCTGGTCATGTACTTAGGAGATCTTTACTTTAATCTTACTAGGTTTTACCTGGAACATCTTTCGCTTAGGACCTCCAATCCTAAGTCGTCTGAACTGATATTCAAGTCAGAGACACTCTCTTTGTCTTGTCTTAATGACCCTTGTATTTACAAGGTCTTGATCATGACATCAGCTGTCACTCTTATCGAGCTGCTGTTGTTACAACTATCCTAGTTTGTAGCACAAGCTGCAGTTAAGAGCACATCTTGCATAAATTGGTTTTTCTCCATAATGTCTGGATAGCTATTGACAAAGGTCATATGAACCTTTGCTTCCAGTATTGCCCACTGGATGACACAATGGGTCTCACTATCTTGATCCATGAGCTTTAACTTTCCAGTGTTTGCACTCCATACAAGTCTGGGCTCCTGTTAAGGTTGTACTCAAGGCTAAATGGATCTGAAGGGCTTCAGCCTCAGCTTGTGCACTGTGCCCCTTACTTGAGTATTGCCCCTTATTTCAGGAAGACAAGACTAACATGTCTGGAGGGTCAGACAAGTAGCATAGCAGATCTGGATGACTTCCAGATGCAGATTAAGTATTGTAAGGCTAATCCAGATGAGTCCAGACTAGAAACTAATGGTAGTGGACTGTTGTAGACAGAGGTGGATATGGATAGACTATAGGAATCAATCCTAAGTCTCGGAGGGTGACAAGAGTAGAGGTACTCAGATCCAGAGGACAGAAATGAGCAGAACTAAGTTGATATTTGAACTCAGGTGTTACAGAGAGTTACAGGAGGTTATATACTATAGGTATCTAATGGAATGATCAATCAGCAGGGTCTGAGGCTATGTACGAAGCATATGGATAGTCTATTGGTAAGTAGAAATGGATCACAAATAATGAAATGGAAATGAAGCATAGGTAATGGATCAGTGAGCAGGACAGATATACAGATAACTGAAATACCGGAGTTAGGGGACTACTGAAAGGAGACAAGCGCTGATTGTGAATTCAGATGAATTGTGGACCAGACTGGATGAGTGGCAGATTGGATGATGAGATGTTAGAGGGAGATAAGATGTGGAAGGGATTGGAGATAAGATGTGGATTGGATCTGAGATCCAGATATGTGGATATGACAGCTCCTCAGAATGATAATGATAGTCATTGTTGTCATTGTTGTTTGGAGACTTGGGATCATTGTGGTCATCTGATGCAGCCTTGAGTTCCTCCACATCATTGGAATCATCTGCCCAAATAGGTGTCTGTAGTGCATGACATCAATAAAAACAGGAACCATCAGAGAAGTGAACTCACCTCATTTTCTCATTTATGATCACATGCAGACTGAGCCTTTGCCTGCTGAAGGCATCAGTCAATGATTATTATTTTCAGCATGGATGGCAACTTACAATGGTATGACCACCTGTCTTGAGCTGATTTTTTGTCTGTTGAGGGGCAGCAATCAAGTGTCAGTTATTTTCAGCACAGATGGAATTGAGGGGAAAACTTACCATGGAAGTCACAGGGGCCCTTGGTTGGGCCAATGAGAAGGGGAATGGTTCAGCTGTCTCCCTTAGCTATGAGGTGTGAGTTTTCTTTAGCATACTAGATGGCAGAGTCTACTTGCAGGATAAATAATCAACTGACCTTGGTACCCACAATTTGTTTGGACAGAGATGGTCCAGTTTTCTGCATCAGCTTTGATGCAGATATATGAGGCCAGGTTGGTTTGGTCAGTGGGAAGTCATACCTTTTGACCTCCAACATTGAGACAAATGTTGGTATCTGAGTGATATCAATTGAAGTTGTGGTTAGCACTCTATTAGGACAGTAGCAGTACTTACTTCAGCTGACAGAAACTGTATGACAGACTCAGGTTCCTGTAAGTCATCATCAGCATCCATGTCAGTATCTGCCTCTGAGTCACCACTGGGTGTATAATCAGAGATAGTACTATCATGCTTGTCTACTAAAAACACCTCATCGATCCCAGTCAGAACTGCACAGGCTGAGAATGGGTGATATAAGAGAATTTTATAATTGATAAGGTCATAGATGGTGTAGACTGTGAAATGGAAATTTGTGTGATATTCTGCGATTGTATGTTGTTCATGTGTGTGTTGTTTGCATGCATTTGTTTGCAAGTGATTACATTTCTGCATCTTTGTATACCAAACTCCCCATATCTCTGTCATAGCATCACTCATTTTTGCCTTCATTGCAAGAGATCATAAGTGCATTTACATTACATGGTATTCCTACCTGCTTACAGCTACAGTATCTACTAGTACTATGAATAAAAACCTAGCTCAGGCTGAGGCTGGGCCTTCTTCCTCTCTGCCTGTCAGTATACATCACAGACAAGCTCAGCAGGCTATTATGAGGTGAGCTGCTCAAGAAGTAAGAGAAGAAGCTTGTTGAACAAGAAAGGCTTGTCTCAATTGAGAACAGCTGGCAGATGATACAAGTGCCAAGGTGGTAAGTGCATGCTGTGTTATATTGATTCTACTTGCTACTGATAGTATCAAATCCATGCTTTCTTCCAGTCCAATTGTGACTTTCCACAAGCAGGTCCTTCCAAATGTCAGCATGACAACATCAATGATGATGGTCTGTCAAAATCTCCAGATTGGAGTCTTCCATGACACTCTCTCACTCCTCCACCTGATGAAGATTTTTTCCTGCAGCAGTTACCATCTCTGGATCCTCCTCTACCTGATGAGGACTTTTTCCTGCAGTGGTCACCATCTCCAGGTCCTCCTCCACCTGCCCAAGCTCTTCCAGAGCACCACCATGTTGCCATTGATGTTGACAAGCTTGCAACTCTTGCAATACTCCCCAAGATGAAGAATACAATTGAATTTATTCATGCTTTTCAAAATGCTTTGCACCATCTTCACAAACCTCACCAAGCATCCCTTGAGATTAATCAGCCAGCTATTCACTTTGCAATATCTGAATATTTTGCACTCAAGCATTTAGCTCAAGATGCATATGAATGCATCTGCAGATCTGCAGGACATTGTTTTGCTGGAGATGCAAATGATATACCCAGTTACTACCAGATAGAGCACCTCATTGCTGAATTTACTGGAGTCAAGTCAATTGAACATGACATGTGTCCAGAGTCTTGCATAGCTTTCACAGGGCCATTCTCTCATCTTGAACATTGCCCCATCTGTGGTCATGATTGTTATGATGTGATCAAACTGTGAACTAGTGGGGGTTGGACCAAAGTTGCATTGTGCAAATTTGTTACAATTCCACTGGATGCCCAGCTCCAAGCACTATGGTGTGATCCCAGTCATGCTGAAAAAATGTCTCATCTTCAGAATGAAATGGAACACATCTTTAATCTTCTACATGAACATGGAGGCTAGATTGATGTGTTCAATGATTTTGTCATGGGAAGTAGCCACATCCATGCTGTTGCTTGTGGTGATATCATGAAGGATGATATTGTCTTGATGATCTCAATGGACAGTGCTCAGTTGTATGAGAGTAAACAGTCCAACTGCTGGATATACATATGGATTGTGATGAACCATGCTCCTGGAGAATAATATCAGAAGAAATATGTCCTTCCTGGTGGCTTTATACCTGGTCTGAACAATCTGAAAAATGTTGATTCATTTCTCTTCCCTGGAATGCATTATCTTAGTGCATTACAGAAGGAAGGGTTGCGCATCTGGAATGCCTCCACAAGAACCATATTCATGTCCCATCCCCATCTCATTTTTACGACTGTGGATGGACCTGGTCTTGTTTATTTCAACAGCATGGTTGGGCACAGTGGTAAAAATGGGTGTCATGTGTATTGTGGAATCCAGGGACAATGCAAGGGTAAGCATCTATTCATTCTGATTAAATAAATTCTCATCATCCAAGTCACTATTTTGATAGGTACACACTATTATCCTGCACTGCTTATATTGAACAATTATCATTCCCCTGACAGTGATCACCCTGACATCAATATCAACACCATCCCCTCATCTGGATCCAGTCTTGAATATGCTGCAAATATGGAGAGGCTTGTGGCTGCACCTAATGATATGCAATACCATAAGCTTAAGAAGGAGATAGGTTTAATGAAGCCCAGCCTTTTGATTGGTCTTGATCTTAAGCACACACTTGGAGTCCTGCAGTGTCTCACACCCAACATTATGCATCTAGTTCAGCTGCTTGCTAATCTTTTCTTGTCATTGTGGAGGGGAAAGATTGATTACACTGCTCCCAATCATCTATCAACATGGCTGTGGGCTATCTTCCAAGATATTAATATGTGGCAGGTACATGGAGCTGCTGTAGCTGCTACTAGTCAGTACCTACCTGGCTCATTTCAAGATCCAGCCCAAAAAATCAATACTGGATACAAAACTTGGAGTTTCAGATATACATTTTCGGCTTAGGGCCAGCACTTCTCTTTAATGTTCTTTCCCAACCATACTGGTGCAACTACTGTTGAATCATGCATGCATTCTGTCTTATTAACTAGCACTCCATATCTGTTGCAGAATTACAAGCTGCTCATACTGCCTTCAATGAATGGGAGGTGGAGTTTGAGCTCTTATATTATGAGCAGTGTGCTAAACACCTTCATTTTATTCATCCTTGTGTACATCAAGTCAGTCATCTTGTTACACAGACTATTTAAAAGGGCTCACCTATTTGTTATTCACAGTAGACAATGGAGCACACAATTGGCAACCTTGGCCAGCAAATTCACCAGCCCTTAAATCCATATTCAAATATTTCATGAGAGGATGTTCACCATTGTCAAGTCAATGCACTAAAGGCCATAATCCCAGAACTTGATGTACCTCCAAGAGGTATTCCTAGTATTGCTATTGATCTTGGTAATGCTATTCATCCATCCCACGCTAAAACTATAGCCATTAAAGCCTACCTTGGTCTTGATGCACACAAGATTCACTGGTGGGCTCACTTATGACTACCTAATGGGCAAATTGTATGAACTGCATGGAGAAAGGCCTATATGTGTTTCATGCAATGTGAAGGTATATATGTATCTATTAGTTTGTCTCTTCACTCACTTGTATTTAGCTAGTTCTTGATGGTGATGTCCAACTTGCTGAAGTACAGTATTTCACCTGACTTGTAGCCAAGTCTGGCATTAGAGAAGATGGACCAATATGGGGCTGGAAGGATATTGCCATTGTTGTGATGTATTCTCAGCCTGATATGGACCTCCTTGACCTCTCCTTCCAAGCAGTGAGCTCATGTGCTCACCTCAAAGATGACATTCAAATTGTCAATGTCAAGTCTATCAAAGCTGTAGTTGGAATGGTACCCCACAAGCCCAGATTACCATCTAGAGTGGTAGAGAATAGGGCTTTTCTTGTTGAGAAACCAGGGCTTGACATCATGACCTTTGGTGTACCATATGAAGGACCTGGTGCTTAGGATGATGAAGATGATGATGATGAGGAAAACATGGATGACATTGAGTGACTGGCAAAGAAGACATGACTGTATGAGTAATACTTCTGACTATTTACCCAATGAGACCTCTAGTTCATATTTTTTCTGACAGATTTCAACAAATGCTTCATTGGTTCAAGAGCAGTCATAAAATTTGGCCTCTTCCTCCTGTGTAAAATAGTTCCAATAGAGTGAACCCAGTGGGGATGGACTGGGGATTGCAAAGAAACTGTTACAGTTAAGAATAGGCTGGTCAAATGAGTTTGATGAGAGCTCATCTGATTTGGATTCAGGCTCAATGATAGAGCTGGAAGTCTGTGTATGGACACAATCAGGCCGAGGAGTCAAAAGTTGATTTAATGGGACAGGAATAACATCTGATTCAGGCTCGGTGATGGAGCTGGAAGTTTGCATATGGACATGATCAGGTTGAGGAGTCAAAAGTTGATTTAATAGGACAGGAATAACATCTGATTCTACGAATGGTTCAACTAACCTTTAAAGCAATGTAAAGTCAGAAAATTAAATTAACATTGTGATTCACTTACAACTCATCTAACCAGTCATCTTTTGCAGCAGGCTGTGGTACCTCTTCTGAGTTCCAGATAAGTCATCTTATAGTGTTAAGCTTAGTGGGGTGCTTAATCCAGAAGGCTGGGTCAAGAAGACAATTGTCAGAAGTTGTTAATCGAGGATTGCTGCCAAAGCTTTGACTGGTATCAGCACTAGTAAGCACATCAAAACAAATGAGTAGAGATAGTATATAGGTTGTTAAGACCATACCTAACATCCTGCTGAAGATATCCATCAAGCTCATCTTCAGAAGGTAAGTTAAAAAATTGCTGCACAATGTCAGGGAGAGTCATAACAAGATGTGAGCAATATCTTAAAGGGACTTAGAGAAAATCAGAAATGTCAGGAGTTGCTGAAATGGATTAACATGGTCATATGGGACATCCATCTTATCATCCAACCACCACTACGTCCACCCTTCTATCCAGCAATTCCAATTCCCTCTATTCAAATGAGTCTCTGAGTAGACAGCCAAACATCTCTCTCAGCCATCTTCAAGCTCAGGCTCACACATGTATTTTGACATGAGTATTAATGTATGCTAATACAGCAACCTAAGTACATTTACAGGATGGATATGTGCATGTGGATCATCAGCTTATCCAGGAGCAGTTGGAGGCTGCCAAGCTTCAAAGTGAGCTCATACAGACTGAATTGACCAGAACAACTGGTGAATGAGACATGATTAGGTATGCTGCTTTTTATACCTTTGGCTGTATTTTTTATTGAAAATAACTACAGACAGTCATTTCAGGACCTCCTTGAGGTGCTTAAACTCCCAAGCAACACTGACCCCTTCAACTTCAGCCTCAACTCCATCAAGGCTTGTGACAAGCCTCAACCTAATGCAACATCTAATCTAAGCATTTGTTTCTGGCATCAGGTT